TTTGTTGTACAAATGTTTTACCTAATTTTAGAGATTTTAGGTTCAGGGCAATGGCTCTGCAGGTGAAAGCACTTCCTGTGCAAGCCTGGTGACGCGGATTCGATCCTTGGAACTCAAGAAAGAATGAGAGAAGCAGTCCCACAAAGTTCTCCTCTGACTCCCTTCCACACAGTGCACCCCCACACAGTGCAGATACATACGATAATATTAGTAATGCAATTTTTAAATGATAGATTTGTGTTATGTGTGTTCTGGTGTGTGTGCGTGTGCATTTGGAAGCCAGAGATGAATTTGGGGTATCTTCCTGCATTACTCTGCATCTTATTTTTTGAGCCGAAGTCTGTCATTGAACAAACATAACGATCACTTTACCGCTTGCCCCCAACTCTCAACTTTATAGATTGATGTCTAAAAAGTCTATTCTAGGTTGTAAACCTAAGACAGAAATAAATCTTAAAATTCTTAAAGAATTGGAGACTAAAACATAATACTGCTGCGGGATGTCTTTTTGTATGCTGTGAATATGTGTGGCTCTCATTGGATAATAAACAAAGCTGCATTGGCCTATGGCAGGGCAGGATGGAGCCAGGTGAGAAATCCAAAAGAGATAGAGAGGGCAAAAAGGGCAGGGTGGGGAACGCCAGCCCACCGTCCAAGGAGCAACATGTAATGGGACCCAGGTAAAGCCACGGAACACGTGGCAATACATAGATTAATAGAAATGGGTTAAGTTATAAGAGCTAGCTAGCAAGAAGCTTGAGCCATAGACCATACAGTTTGTAATTAATATTAAGCCTTTGAGTGATTATTTTATAAGTGGCTGCTAGACCATAGGGCCGAGTGGAACCGGAGAAACTTTTGGCTACAGAATCCAATTAATTATGGATGTGAGGGCAGTCGGGCTGGGACATCTGTCACCCCATTGGTCATCATGGTTGATCTGGCTGGTTAGGGAAGTGTTTCCTCCCTCCCTCATGGCTCCATGTGCTTCCCTCCTGAAACTACATGCTTAGCCCTACATGGTGGCTGATGACCTCCCCCATGAATAAAGAAAGATGGGTCTTTGTTCACAGGTGTATGAGTAGTTGCACTCCTATGGTAGAACCTTAAAACAAGTTCTCAGATAGTTAAGCTTATAGTTTTATTTAAATACGTATTTGAAGACTATAAAATTGTATTTATTATTGCTTGAGTATCTATGACATATGGGGAGGGGGGAGTGCACGCCACACACCATGGAAATCAGAGTACAACTTTGGAGTTGGTTCTCATCTATCTTTATGTGGATTCCAGGAACTGAACTCGGGTCACTAGGCTTGCATGGCAAATGCCTTTACCTTCTGAGCCATTTTGCTGACCCTAAAATATTTCTTTTTATTGGTCAGAAAGTACTGAAGAAATCTGAGGATATATTTATTTTAAAAATATATTTTTTATGGTTTTTTTTACATTTATATTTTAAATAAAGAAAATGTCACCTGTAACCTCTAGAGATACCTGTTAGCCTTTTTCTGTGTGTTTCAAAATTGTAACTATACAGTGTATAGTACTTGGTAACATAGCTATTAAATCTCCCAGGTACTTTTTGTGCTTTTGTTTGGATTTTATTTTGAACTTGACTAAGAATATAGTTTGGCTGTGTAAGGTTTTCCTTAGCGTCTTTCCTTGAGCTGTCTCCTTAGGAGTTTATAGGTTGCAGAATAGCATGAGGAAGGACAGCATTGGAGTTTGTGTCTGAGGAAACATGGCTTTACATTTTTGAACACGTAACACAGCACATGCCTGTTGGAGGCTGGCTGAGTGGGCCAGTTGAAGCTTCTTTCTGTTAACAGTGTCTCTCAGCACTTCAATAGAAGCACTTCATATCTTACTGTGTGAAGGAAGCATCAGAGTTATTCTACAGCCTTTGTGATGATGATTTAAGTGAAGTTTAATTGAACTATATTGATAGTCTTTTAAAATGAGGCTGGGAGGGGCTGGAGCATTGGCTCAGCACTTAGGAGCATGTACTGATCTTGGAGAGGACACAGGCTCATTTCCCAGCATCCGCATCAGGTGGCCTACAATTACCTGTAACTCCATGGGTACCTACGCTGACATGCACACACACACACACACACACACACACACACACACACATACACACACACGCAATTTTAAAAATAATAAAAGTAAGTCTTTAAAATGGGACTTGGGAGACGGCTCAGTAGGTCAAGTGCTTTGCTGTGCAAGCATGAGTTCATAGCATGTAAAGAGCAGATTGTGGCAGCGTTGGCCCGTGATCCTAGTGCCAGGAGGTGGAGCAGATGGATCCTGGAGGCTTGCTCCAGGTAGGAGGCTAGCCAATCAGTGAGAGACTGTCTCAGAAAATAAGATAGAGACACTTGACCAAGACCTCTGGCCTCCACATGCACATTCATGGATGTGTGCTCCCGCATATGTATGCTTACTTTCCATACACCCCATAAGTAAATTAATATAACTATATGATTACATAATTAATAGCCCATTAGCAAATCTGTCAATACTTGTGTTTCTTGTTTGGGCCAGCCTAACTAATATTGCTCTTTATATGATAGACAGTGGTCTTGTTAGCCAGATTCTTCTTAAAGACAGAATCCGCTTGACCAGTATTAACACTGACTTTCATGCATTCAAGAAATCCCCCATAGCATGCTCTTTATATGTTGAACGTGAATTACACAGCTTTAGAGCTGGAACAGATTTTTGAGAAATCAAGGCTCAGAAAGTTATCACAGTGGCTAGCTAAACGTAAATGTGGGCCTAGAGCACGGGCCTCACACAGGAGGCTCAGCCAGGCCTCGGGTTGTGCTTTTCCTTGAGTGGTAGGGTGTGCCTGTGGAGATGTCTGAACTGTTTCTTATATTGGCTCCTGAAATACCAGCCTTTGGAGAAATGCCCTGTAAAATAAAGCTCCAGCTAATTTAACCACATGCAAACTCAGCTCATAAAATTAACCCTCATTTAGAAGATGAGCTTGGTCTTGAAGGAAATTGCCAAGCCCTGAAGGCAGAGTTGCCTGTCTCAAGAGTAATTGTATCATTGGAAGCTGTGTGGTTTTGAATGGTAATATCCCTTTGTGTTGTGATATTTGAAAAGTGGAGTGAATCAGTCTCTCACTGTCCCCCTTGGCATTGGCACACCTGGAGTGTGCGTGCGTGCGTGCGTGCGTGCGTGCGTGCGATCAGAATTATTCTACAGCCTTTGTGGTGATGATGTAAGTGACATTTAATTGAACTATTTTGATATTTGTGTATGTGTGAGAGAGAGAGAGACAGACAGACAGACAGACAGACAGACATCCCAGGCTGATCTCAAAAATGATTGTGTAGGTGAGGATGACTTTGAATGTGTGATTCTGCACTTCACTTCTATAGTGTTGGGATTACAAGGACTGAACCTAGGGCTTTGTGCTTGCTTGGAAAACACTATCAACAAGTAAATTGTTACATCAGTGTAATGGAATACCTTAGAACTGCTGAAGTGATGTAGCTCTCCTAGTGCTAAACGGGAGCAATTTCCACTAGTAAGAAGGGGATAAAGGGATATTTGTGTTTTGTTCTAAAACATACATGCCATGTGTGCATACACACATCCCATACATGCACTCACACACTCACTATACTCGTGGGTATTCATTACCTCTGGAAGGAATTACAAACCACTGATAATAGTGATTGTTTTCAACACAGAGGGAGACTTAACTTCCCAATATTCTTCCGTACCATTTGGAACACTTTTATTGTGCTTCTGTGTTTTTACCTTGCCCCATATCCTTAGAATGCTTAAGCATCATTAGAAGTGTCTGGCTGCAGTGACAAGACACCTCTAGTGATGTTCTGTGGTGCTCACCCCTCATTGAATGTGATACGATGTTTAGGGCTAATAGGCCTCTGATCCCTGTGCAGGTTGGTGCTGTTGGGAGTAGTCTCTGGATGGTCGGAGCTGAGGCGCGTTGGCTGGTTTGCTGAAGCCCCAAAGCCCGCTCAGAGAGTGTGTTTTAAGTAGGGAGGTGTTAGAGCAGGAAGGACTGTGTTTAAAGAGCAGAGGGTGAGAGGTGGGAACTTCAGCAGTTTGGGTCCTCATTAGGAGAACCTGGCTGTGCTCTGTTTGCAGAGGTGAGAGCCAGAGTGGAAATTCACTAGCATGATGGGGGTTTGTGTTGTACAGACCCCCCAATATCCCCACCCCTTCTTTTCAACCTTTCAGAAATAAGAACCCCACCTAGGATTCTTTGCATAAAACTCCATAAACAGAATCATATCTGCTTCATGGAGGGAACCATTTAAGCTAACCAAGCCTGGCCTCAAGTTCAGAGTCATCAGCTCAGTGCCCAGATTGGAGTAAATGTGAGGTGATAGCTGTGTGTCAGTATGTAGACAGTTTCATTCAGTTCCTCTGGCAGCTTTAGCTACTCTCAGCTTTCTGAGGGATAGCACATTCTTGGCATGAAGCAATGGCTCTGTGTGGCAGGGTTTTGGTTTTTTTGTTTTGTTTTGTTTTGTTTTGTTTTTGCAAGGAATTAGGTTTTCAGGTATCCTGCAGGGGTTTGGGCATGTGTGAATGGAGGCAGAGATAATGTTTCTGATTTTTCTAATTCTCTCCCTCTCCTAGTTAAGAACTGACAGACAAGTTAGGATTGTGATTTTTTTTTATCTTGTTTTTTGAGACAGTTTCTTTCTACTATATAGCTCAGGCTGTATTAGAACTCGCTATATACCCCAGGCTGTCCTTAAACTCACAGAGATCCACCTACTTCTGCCTCCAGAATGCTGAGATTAAAGGCGTGCACCACCATGCCTGGTTTAATACTATAATTTTTATCTGAATCCCTGAGTGAAATACCCTTAGGAGAGTCTAGATCCATGTAGGTAGCCGGCTTCTCTTTGATAGATACTAACATGTGCATACCAGTTTGTCTGCTAGTATTTGGCAAGAGAAACTCCTGGTTCTAGTATGCTATATTCTCATTTCAGGGAGAGGCTTGGTTTTGGAAACCAGAGGATTGGACACGCTGGGGAAGTAATGTCCCATTTCCATAAAGGTAGGTCGACTTTTCTGGGATTATTTTTTGGTGGCTGTTATTAATAATGCTTGTTAAAGCTGGCTTAGTAGTTATTATTTTTTTCTTGCAGCAGAGATGTCAGCTTATTTATAGGAACCACCCAAAGCCAGAGTCATGGTGGATGTAGGCAAGTGGCCAATCTTCACTCTGCTCTCACCCCAGGAAACGGCATCGATCAGGAAAGCATGTGTCTTTGGTACCTCTGCCAATGAGGCCATCTATGTCACTGACAATGATGAGGTAAGACTGGAAACTGGAGTTTAGTTTGGGGGCCTATTTGGGGGTTGAACTTGAAACTCTATAGTTTGAAGGCTGAAAATAGGTTTGGGATAAAGAGAACCTGAAATCCAAGAAGAGTATCTTGGATATGTTTTAATGCTTCTGCTCTATAGTATAGACTAATACTGCAAAGCCAGAGTATTCTCAGCAGAGGCTGAAGATTCCTATGACCTTTAGTATAGTAGTCTCTCTTGCACCTGGACTCATAGACTTGAGTGTATCTTACTTTCTGAGCAGGGAAAGGAGCGTGATTTCAAGTCAAGTGACTTAGGCAAATGTATTTGTTCTCTAGGTCTTCGTGTTTGGACTGAACTATAGTAACTGTCTAGGAACTGGAGATAACCAGAGCACTCTAGTGCCCAAGAAACTAGAAGCCTTGTGTGGAAAAAAGATCAAAAGTCTTAGTTATGGGAGTGGCCCCCATGTCCTCCTCAGCACTGAAGGTAAAGAGGGAAAACTCTGGCTTTGGGGTTTGTGGGTAATTGAGCAGTTAATTCTGAGCCAAGGAAAAGAGAGTCCTGTATCAAGTGACTTTGGATTGTTCTTTTTGTGGAGGGGGAGTATACCAGGAAGGTAAAACTTAAGACACCTGAGGCCAACTGAATAGCAGCAGTGTGTCTTGTACACAGACAGTCTCTAGGTTCTTGGACTTCCAGTGTAATTGCAGAAGGCTGGAAAGGTTAAAGGATGTGGTTCTTCCAGTCTGACTTTTCAGTGGATGTGTGGACACAAGGTAACTTTGAGAGGGTTTCTTTTATATATTTTTTAATTTATTTTTATTATTATTTGAACTCTATGTATATGCAGTGGGGGATGTGTATATTAGCACAGGGCCTTCAGAAGCCAGAGGTGTTAGATCTCATGGAGCTAGAGTTACAGGTGATTGCGAGCTGTCTGATTTGGATGCTAGGAACTGAACTTCGGTCCTCTGGAAAAGCAGCAGTACGTGCTGTTAACCACGGAGCCATCACTCCAGCCCTCTTTGGTATATTTTTATAAACGCACATAATCTGGGTTTTCTCCTTTGTGTAGTTCTTAAATCTTGAATCAAGATATCTTAGTTTATTCTGAAGAACATCTGTATGAGTGCCATATTGAAGGGATAGGAGAAGTAGACAGTCTTGTCCTTTTGACTGTCCTTCACCAAGGTCACCAAAGAAGCACAGATACTCTCCTTTGGTAATTATCTGTACTGTGGGCAAGCAGCACCCTGAAAGTTTGTCATGTGTAACTTCTTCCCTTTGAGTTTTAGGTCTTTTATCCCTTGTAGAGGTCCTCCGATTTTGTTAGATGGGAGACGATCGCATCTCTGCTTTGTGTGTCTGTACTAGGGAACCTCGGTTTCCCGGGTTGCTGCCTCAGCCTCTGTGTCGGCCTTGGTGTCTGCTCTCCCTCATGCAGGAGTCTGACTAGGTTGAGCATCGTGAGGCAGCTCCGTCCCAGCTGCTCTGCGTCATCACTTGATTGCCACCACTCTGGGCCTGTGAACTGAGCTCCTACCAGCTGGTTCCCTCTTACCCATCGTGGCCTAAGGGGTTGAAGTTTTCCCATCATAACCAGTTCTTGATATCTGACCCTAAATACTGAAGAACATTTGTAATACCGCAAACACACTAAAAGACATACTTCCAAATCACTGGTTTTCTTTAAAGTTGTGACCTTTGGAAGCTATCATAATCCTTTTGGAATTATGCTATAGTCTAGACAATATGTTTTAGGTATCTTGAGTATTATTTAATTTAGTATACAAATAATTAGGGCTTGGTGAGAAAAATGTTCTTTTTATATTTAATTTTTATCTTTAGAGTATATTTTATGCAGTATATATTAAGCATACTATACATTGTGTGCCATATGTATGATTACTATATCTGTATTATGTGTGTTATAAACAATCAAATCATTTAAAAAACTTTGTATGTGTACATGTATGTTCATGTTTGAGGACAGGTGGGTGTAGGGTGTGTGTGTGTGTGTGTGTGTGTGTATGGTGCTAGGGATTGAATTACTGTTTAGAAGGAACCACTTGAACTCTTCAGATATTTCTTTAGGAATTTGATCTCTCATATTTATTATTGTTGTGTATGTGTGTAAGTGTGAGTACGTGTGCCACAGCGTGCATAGGAGTTGAGAGGACAACTCTTGGAGTTGTTCTCTTGGCTTGTATCTTCGGGTGGCAAGTACTTTTGCTCACTGGGCCGTCTTGCTGGCCCACCATTCCACCTTATTGAGGCGGTCTTTATTGCTTCTGCTGTGCTGTGTACTCCAGGCTTGCTGGCTGGCTGGCTTCTGGAAGATTCTCCTATCTCTGCCTTCCATCCCCCTGTAGTCCCGAGATTACAGATGTGTGCTGCTATCACATCCACCTTTGTGTGTGTGTGTGTGTGTGTGTGTGTGTGTGTGTGTGTGTGTGTGTGTGGTTTTCAGGATTGCACAGCATGGGCTTTTGCCTACTGAGCCGTTTTGCCAGCCCATTTTCTTTCCTATTTTTAAAGTAAGGTACTTAGGCTTCTACATACGAGTTTCTAATCTTGGGTATTATCTTTTAACTTTGTATTGTGGCAGATAGAATTTAGCTCTTTGTCCTCTGTCTTTCTTGCCTTTAGCTTTTAAACACATGGATACTACCATTTTGGTTAACTTAGTATTGATGTTTTCATTATTGGGGGCTGTGTAAGTATTATTTATAGCAGAGCTTTTCCCTTCTTGCATGACCCCCACCCTCACTTCCTGAGGCTGATAATTACTTTGAACGTTTTCACTTGCTGACACCGGTATACATCCATCGTTAACATGTGTCCAGCTGTTTTACAGACTAGCACATATCAGATGATCTCTGGAGCTCCCGTCTCTCTTCTAGAACTGTTAAACTTGACTGGTTACACTGTCAGGCTGCCTGAACAGCTGCCAGCCCAAAACTTCTCTTCACTGTCATGCTCAAAAGTCTCTTCACTTTATCCTTTCTAGTCCCTATTTGTGTATGTGTGTGTGTGTGTCCAATGCCATCCTTCTTGGATCCTACCCTCATCTGGGAAAAACATTCTCGAGACACTTTCCAAGAAAGGGATCTGAGAAATCTGTAAGTCTCTGTCTTAAGATGTCATTATTTCACTCTCACTGATGTGACTCGGGTTTGGTTGACATCAGAATTCTACGGTGAGTGTCTGTTTTCTCATTATTTTCACGTCATGGTACTTTTTAAGATTTAGTATTGACACAGTTCCTTTTTGACCTCCACTCTTTCTGTGTGTGCACATGTGGAGGCTGAGGCCAATGCCACTCTGTTCCTCTCCACCTGTGTCATTGAGACAGGGTCTCTCACTGAACCTGGAGTTCATCCGTTGACTAGACTGGTTGTCCAGTGAGCCCCTGGGGTCCTCCTGTTTCTGCCTCCCAGCTCTGCGATCACTGTGCATGCCGTCAGGCCCTGCTGTTTATGTGTGCCGTGCCGGAGGCTTGAACTCACTTTCTCACGCTTGTGCCGCTTTGCCCATAGAGCCATCTCCTCAGCCCCACTCTCCCCCTGTGTGACGGTTTCCTCATTTTTTAACATTACACAGAGATCTTTGTCTTTATTCCAGATACTGTGGAAGAGTCATGACTGCTCTGGAGTGGGTACCTTTTAGCTTACTAGTAATCTGTAGGTCCTGCCTTCATTTCTAAAAAACATTTTTCTAACTTTTCATAGATAATTTTTTTTCTGCTCTGTCCTTTTTGGAATTTTTCTTATATAAAAGAGATTCTGACTTAATTTTCTTTCTTATATATGTTCTGGAAAATTAACTTATTAAAACCATGTGTAAATAAATTTTACTTATACCCATGTTTGTGCATGATTGTGTGTGTGTGTGTGTGTGTGTGTGTGTGTGTGTGTGTGTGTGTGTCCCAAGTCCTCACTCAATTCCTGCAGTACCACACAGCCAAGTCCCAACTAGTGATGACAGGAGAGCCACAACATCTCCTTGCTGTAACTCTCTTATAACTGATGGCACATCTTCTTGGGAACTTAGGGCTGCAGTTGGTTCTGTGCCCACTTCCCCTTTTGCAGACAGCGATGGATGGATGGATGGATGGATGGATGCCTTTTCTGGTTTGCTTTGCTAGTTACAGTACCTGTCTGTTTTCCATCTCCAAAGCTTTTGTCTCATGTAGCCAAGACTGACCGTGAACTCAAGATCCTCTTGTCCTGCTGCAAGACTCCAATAGAGAGAAGCCTATTTTTGTACATAAACTTTGACTTTGACCACAAATCTGATCTTGTATATAGGTGCCCAGTCCTTTCATAAAAGGTTTGCCCCTGTCCTCTCTAGTCTCTGATCCTTCACTCCCTGGCTCCCACTGGTTGTTCTCTTGTAGAGAGGAGGCACAGATGCAGAGTATTGGAGGTTTCAGGGGTTACCAGTTCTGTTGGAGCTAATGCTCCATGTGCTTGTGTGTTTAGATGGAGTTGTCTATGCCTGGGGCCATAATGGATACAGCCAGCTGGGGAATGGGACCACCAACCAAGGAATTGCTCCTGTCCAAGTCTGTACGAATCTCCTGATCAAGCAGGTGGTTGAGGTAGCCTGTGGTTCACATCATTCAATGGCTTTAGCAGCTGACGGAGAGGTAAGTGCTCTTTGATTCCTTTTGTTAAAAACTGCACTAAGTGAATGATTACAATGAATACAAGTAAATAGCAGCATGTTTTCCATGTCCCTTACATGAGTAAACATTTTACATTACATTATAGGAGAAAAGCAAATAATCCCCAAGAACCCACATACATTCATGTCCAAACAACTTGTTATAGATTAACAGTGTATAGGTAAGCAAGGTATTTTTCTCAGCCAGTTCTTTTACTGGCAGGCTACATTTTGTGGTTATAAAGAAAGAATCACTTTATTATGTATATCAAAATGTACTCTTATAAAAAAATCATAGGAGAATCACAAACCTAAATTTTTATATATGAAAAACAATCAGCTGTACTTTAAATCCTCAGGGTGCAAACCCACTCATCTACAGGTTTTTTTTTTAATATCAGGAAGCTGAGGGTAGAAATGCATACAAGGAATTAATCATCACCCTTGATTACCAACCCATCCTTGAAAGAAGGGTACATTGGCCAACAATATCCAGGCTGTCATTGTTTTTGTTCCCTGGCCTCAGTGAGTCCTTCACTCAACTATTAAAAGTGTACCTTTCTAAACTTTAAATCATTCCCCAAGATTTTCTACCTCAAAGCCATTAACAAAAACAACCTAACCCTAAGTCGTTATTAAAAACTTTGTTTCAGGTATGATGCATACTGAAACCCATGAACACATCTCCCAGCATTAAGATTAAAAGAGCTTGAGCTAGCCTACCTGGGACTCAGTTGTTTTCTTTAATCATTAACCTAAGCCACACTCATCAAGAGAAATTCATAAGTCCTAACTGCATGACACTTCCTTGTTCCTGTTTTCTATTCTCCACAGCCCCTGCTCTACCGGGGCAGGAGCAGCACTATATCCTTTAACTACATTAATTTTCCCACTAAACTAACCTCTATCATAATCGCTTACTGTATTTATTAAATAAAGCCCTCAATCATCAAAATTCTATTTAAACTAACACTATTATTGTGTAAAGTCATTGCTTCAGTTCAACAGTACAGCTTAGGAGGAAATCATCTTCATAATAATCCACAGATAAAAATGCCCAGTAGAATGGGGTATTTCCATGAGATCATTCTACAACATTTAATAAAGGCGGTGGGGATCCCCCACACCCCTTCACACCGTAGCAGAAAGCAAAGAAAGATGGCAGTGACAGACATGTAAAGGCACAGCAGTAGCAAGAGACATTCTGGAGCCGAAGCCCTGGGGCCTTGCCTATCCGAGGTTCACCCATCAGTGCCTTGCATTCTGGTGGCCTAACTCCTGCTCCTCTGACATGGCCACCAGCAACTTTTGATGAGAGAACTCATTGTTCATGTTCATGCTCTTTGCCATGATCACAGCTTACACGTGATATGTAAGCTTCTAAACACCCCCTTTCTTAGGGTGTATTTTGTTTTTCAGTGTATATAATAATTTTGGAGAAAACAACTTTCCCAGCATTGTAGTAAGTAATTGTTCAGCCCCATATCCCTGCTGATCTTCAGGTTACTCACCCTGTTCACTCTCCCTCTGACCTCTGTAACTGTTGTTCCACCTCAAGCTTTTGCTGGAGTCTTGCCTCCTGCCTACACTGTTGTCATTGGTCATTGTTAATAACTGGGATCCACCTGTTCAGTCTTCCCTGGCCCACGGTGATTTCTGAAGCACAAATTAGGTCAATCACATTGTTCCTTTCTCCGATGGTGTTAATTAGTTCTACCAGTTGGGAACAAGTCAGAGAGGAAAATACCACAAAGCCGATGGTGACCCAGGTTTCATGGTTGGGATGTACCAAAAGTAGGCATAGCACACGGGCTGTGTCCAAACCCACTGTCTCCTTGCCCATTGCTTCTTCAGTGGAAACATGGTCCCCATTTAAAATGAAAGACAGTGGTGTTTTTAAGGAACTTGGAATGTTCCAGAAGCACCTGAGGAATGATTGTTATTAGACAAATCTTGCTCATTTGTGAGGCTCGGATTCTTGCTTTGTTTTAATCATTAGCCTGTGTTAGTTTTGATAATGGTGCAGAATCCCTGTATTTGTAAATTAGGTATTTCTGTGACTGTTCATTGGTGAAGTATATGTCATTTCTCTTCTACCTGTAAAATGCATATTTCATCCGAGTTTTCATAGTCAAGACATCAGTAGTATGTTAGGCTGTTGTCAGCATGTGAAAGTAGAAAGTATTGACAGGGAAGAAAGATGTACAAGCCAGGCTGAGGGTGTGTGGAGACTGCTTGTCACAGAAAGGAGTGGGCAAATGCAGGCCTTAGAAATTGGGCTAGTGTTGCAAGAGGTTTTTGTTTTTTGTTTTTTGTTTTTTTTTTCCTTCTGCCATTAAGCCTCTCCATTCCCTGTTTTCTCCTCCAAGTAACCCTGTATCCTTCCTAAACACATCTCCACCATACTCAGAAGCTCCCAACAGCTGTGGTTACCCACATAAGACCAAGTTGACCCAAATTCCCACAATAGATGGAGAGAGAGCTCCAGGCTCTACTCCTTACTGAGAGCTATTGGCAATTGATAGCTGCTGTGGGAGGGGCAGGGAGAATCACTTTTTTTAAGGGTGTGGCCATTGGCAAAATTATTTTTTCATTTCTCGTATTTGTTTCTGGTTTTTGACTAGCATAGAAACCTGTTTGTGTGTCTCCAGTAAATATCTAGTGTTCAAATTGTGCTAGATAATAGATAGCAAAAGTAGGTTGTGCAAAGTTGACGTGTAGCAAGTGAGAATTCAAGTACTTGGAAGAACAGTCTAATAAGCAATGGTATTTCTGTAGGAGTAAACATGTCCTTAGCACTTATGACCATTACTATTTTATGGTGAGAAATTACAGTGGAAAGTTAGAAGCTTGATAGCTTTTTTAAATATACTGTGTCAGAAACATAGACAAACATGTTTGTGTCTACATAATGTCAAGAGTTTATTGAGCAACAGTAAATCCGCAGGTACAGCAGCTTTGGTACCAATTTGTCCAAGAGCCCTGCTGTCCTTGGTTGCCCTGGCTGAAGACCATCACAAATTATTTATTCCAGTCTTTTAAAATTTCAGTCTTAATTACTTATATTAACTCTCAGAGCACACATTATATTGCTTGCTCGCTCTCCCTCCCTCCTACCTGGTGTAAAATGTAAATATTACAAAGGATTAAAGAGGCCACAGCAGAGTTAAAGGCATTTCAAAGAGGCAAAAGCTGGTAGAGGTGCAAAGAGTCTGGGAGTAAGATGAACTCTGGCTGGAGCTCTCTGGGAGAGGCAATTGCTACTGCTGCTAGAGTCAAGGTGTGGGGTCAGACTTGCGCTTCAGAAGCAAGGTGAAGAAGAGGCTTTAGAGACAAGGGCTAGAATTGGGTCCGAAGGGATAAATGGGCATGTGGGTGGACAGTAGGTCCAGACAGGTGGTGAATAGAACTTGTCAGCAGAGTGTCCATGGTGAGCTGAAGTCCCTAGGACACTTGGGGATTCTCGGCTTCCTCTCCACACTGATCTGCAGTAGTAATGACCCCACACGTTTTTTGTCTGATCAGTGTTCTTTATGACATCCAAGTGAGTGTTGCACCTTTTTCTTAGTCTGGGGTGTCGGATAAGTTCTTGTGCCTGATTTTTCTGATATAATTTTAATGTGCTGGTGGGCTCCTACAGTCCCAGTTTATGTTTATAAATCTATATAGTAGCACTCTTATTGTGTCTTGTGGATGGTGCTGTTTAGGTGTCCACTAAGTATATCAATCTTAGTAGAGTAAAAAGCTGCTTATAAGATGGATCCTCTCAGGACAAAGCACAATCTAAAAACCATTTTGTTGTTGGGGCTTTTTACTCTTTTCTGGGGTCCTGCCACCCAGCTCCCAAATAAATCACACACAGAAGCTTATTCTTAATTATGAATGCTCAGTCTCAGCTTGGCTTAGTTTCTTGCCAGCTTTCCTTAACTTAAATTACCCTGTCTACCTTCTGCCTCTGGGCTTTTTCCCTTTCTCTTACTTCTGTAAATCTTACTCTTACTCTATGTCTGGCTGTGTAGCTGGGTGGCTGGCCCCTGATGTCCTCCTCCTTTTCTTGCTCCTTCTTTCTTGTATGTATTCTCTCTGCCTGGCAGCCCCACCTATTTCTCTCTCCTGCCTTGCCATTGGCCATTCAGTTCTTTATTAGACCATTGGGTGTTTTAGGTAGGCACAGGAACACAGGTTCACAGAGTTAAACAAATGCAACGTAACAGAAATAACCCACCTTCAAATAATCTTCTACAACACCATTTTACACAGTGTGGAGTAATTTAGAGCAGGGCACAGCCTGGCCTCAACAGGAGTCCTGAGGCATCAACTGTGCATTAGTGAGACAGGGAAATGAACAATATAGTTCAAAAGGAACGCTTTCCTGAGAAAGGAGAATTTGTGTCCAGAGTTGAGCGTGCTTTTTATATCATTGATGCTTTGCCTTATTAGTACCAAAATTAATAAAATGTATGTATCTAGTTGTCAAACTTAGAGGGGCACTACAGTAACGTTGTCAAAAGCACAGTACAATACTTGGGCTCTCTCTCTATATCCATCGCCCAGGGGATGGGAATACTTACCCAGGACTACCGAGTGGGATTTCTGTGAAGATAAGTAGGTAAGTGCATGTAAAGCATTCAAAGCCACGCCGAAGGTCTCATGACTGGTTTTCCTTGCTCCTTCTCTTGTAGTTGTTTGCGTGGGGCTATAACAACTGTGGTCAGGTGGGGTCAGGATCTACAGCGAATCAGCCAACTCCTCGGAAAGTCACCAACTGTTTACACACGAAGAGAGTGGTCACCATTGCCTGTGGTCAGACCTCCTCCATGGCTGTTCTGGACAGTGGTGAGGTTCGTACTCTGTCTCTCCGTCCCCTCCACCTACATTCAAAGGATCCAGCATGGAGGGAAGGAGAGCTTGTCTTGGTTAACTGACGGAAAGGAGAACCAGCTAGCAAGTGCTCAATCCTCAGAAGGACTTCAAGTCTGAAGATTGCAGTAAAAATTCTAATGTGTCTTCATTTTCGTTTTTGCAAGATCCCCGTAGCCACATGGTAAAGGAGATGGTGGGGTAAATGTTAGATCCGGGTAGTCTAATCTGTATAGGTATTTGTATAGGTATCTGTATAGGTATTTGGATTTAATGCTATGGGCTGAGAAAGAACTGCCTTTCTTCCAGTGGAAGAGTCATCTGTATATTTTTGAAAGTCAGCTAATGAATTCTTCACTAAACCACCCACAGCATCTCACATGTTTTATTGGAGGAAGCATCTTGTTTTTGATCGTCATTATCTACTTCTGTAAACCTATCCTCTGCCCTGCACCATGGTCCCTTGTTAGCTGATGGTTACTTCTATGAAATTACTGATGACACTTCAGTGGGCCACGTACCACCTTTGCTTTCCTTGGTGCATGGAAATGATACAGTCTTTGTGTATGGCATCATGCAGTGGGTTTGGGGTGCTGTACATGTTTCTGAGTACTCACCTAAGTTGAGTTTTTGTATTCACTCCTGCTATTATCCTTGAATACTTTAGAATTCTGTGAGCAATCATCTAGTACCCTCCGTTCAGTGTTCTTCTTGCTTTTGTTTCTTTAAGATTTATTGTTATTATTTTTTAATTATGTGGATATGTGTGTCTGTGTGTGCACACGAGTGCAGTGTGCCCATGGAGTTCAGAAGAGGCTGTCAGGCCTACTACAGATGGAATTATAGGCTGTTGGGAGCCTTCTGTCCTGAGAAGTGAGCTGGATGGCCTGCGAGAGCTGTACCACTCTTAACTGCTGAGCACTAAGTTTAACTTTAAAATGATTATTATGTGCTTACTTTTACAAAGGGAAAGACAGTGAAGCATATAAAGTAAACATTAAATATCTCTTTCCTAATCTCATTAATAGTTTCATGTGTGTCCTTCTGGACTTTTCTTTATAAGCAGTTATGTACAGATGAGTTTAATTACCTTATTTAACAATTATATAACACTGACAATTATACATTGCTGTCCCTCTCTGTCATTCTGTGGCTTGTAGTTCCCTGCCTCACTTCACAGCATGTGCTTTGCCCGTGTGCTGTCTCAGACTGTCTCTGTAGCACTTCCCAGAATGCTGCTTAGTTTTGCTTCTGGGGGTGACGAACACCTGGAACTCTGCTGAAGGGCTTTTCAGTTGTTTTTAATGTTTTGCTGCTGTGAATAATGATTTATTATTATTATTATTATTATTATTATTATTATTATTATTTTTATTTTTATTATTATTATTATTACATTCTGTTACTATATGTATATCTTGGTACGTTATTTAGGTATTTCTATAGAATAAATTCCCAGCATAGAATTTTTAGATCAAGAAGGATGCCATTAAGAATATTAAGCTATTGCCAGATTTCCAGTGCCTGTTACATTTCTGGCATTGCTGAGATTGCCTGTAGCCACCTCTCACACTCTGCCCCTTTCTACTTTACTTTGTCCTGAAAGTCCCACTGTGCATTTCCTGCATCCATGTGGGGCTTGGTGCCACCAGAAGTCATAGGCGTCTAATTTGAACTTGACCTTTTAAAAATCTGTTCTTGTTTAGAATTTATTACTATGGCCCACGCTGGATATTCCAAACTGTTGACCCTCCCGGCCAGCCTATGCCAGCTGCTACTTTCAACAGATGGTGCCTGCCATTTGAAACAACCGCGGGACCATCCAGTTCTGTGATTCTCCTGTTCAGCCCCTTTCTCACCCAGTCCGTCTCCTGGTCCCCTGTCACTTCTTACCTCAGTCTTATGAGAGCTCACTTGTTTACTGATGGGACATGTAAAAAGTCTTTTTTTTTTTTTTTTGTCTGTCACCTGTTCACCCTTGTCTCTGTGATCTTTTAAAATGCAAATTTAATTTCTGTTTTTTAATATTGTAGTAAAAATTCTTAGATGTATCCCACTTTCTTTTTTTGTTTTGTTTTTTTGTTTGTCTGTTTGCCCGTTTGTTTGGTTTTGTTTTTTGAGGTGGTGTCTTACTGTGTAGCCCTTGCTGGTCTGGTACTTGATATGTAGCCCAGGCTTGCCTTGAATTTGTGGCAGTCTTCAGCCTCACATGCTTAGAGCTGGGATTACAGGCATGTACATACTGCCTAGCTTTTTTAACTTTTCTAAGTTTACTATCTGGCTCTTTCTTCTTTTCTTCTACCACTATTGTACCTGCTTATCTTGTCTCTGCCTGGAACACCGTCATCTAACCCTGCTCGGGTCTCTACTATTCTATCTACTTCTCTTCTATCTTTGCCTGTGACATTCTGTGTGCCTTCTGTCTGGAACGCCATCATCTAGCAGCCTTCCCTCACATTGTTTCTTAGGAAGAAACAATGTGTTGTGGCTCTTACTACCTGCTCACCAAGTGTGCACATGTTCATTGTCTTTGTTAAACTTGAACAAAAGACTCCTTCCTGTGCCTTTTACTGTGTAGGACATGTGGTAGGTGCTTGCTAATCATTAATGACCCTCAACTTTCTCATTTGTGAAGTCATGGAATGGGGATAAAGTCAGTCTTCACCCCCAGAACCTCCAAATTGCACTTGTAGGATCACGTAGTGTACAGTACAGGTTTTGGAGTATCTGATCTGTGTAGGACAGGACTGCTCTTCCCCTTGGCAGTCTCCACAGCTTGTCCTCTCCTCTCCTCTCTCTCAGGTGTATGGCTGGGGCTATAATGGCAATGGACAGCTGGGCTTGGGAAACAATGGCAACCAGTTGACCCCAGTGAGAGTGGCAGCGCTGCACGGCGTGTGTGTGAACCAGGTACACATTGTCTTTCCTGCAGCCAACCCCACCCACCTTCCCTGCTCTGATGACAGATGTTTGGAGGTTAATTCTTTTGTCATTCATTTCGAGCAATTCTTTTTGCCTTCACTTTTCAATGGAATGTTTTAGCCTTTCTATTTTTCTGTTAGAAAAGGGAAGCCCATGGTCTTCTTCTTGGGGTAAAGAAATTCATAAAGAAGTGGCCAAAGAATTAGACTTCCCTGATGCTTCTGAGTATCCTGCAGATGCCAGTCGACACATGCTGCTGACCTGGCATTCTGCAGAGGCCGACTGTGGCCTGAGCAGGCGGTTGCTCGGCCCTGCCTGTCTTCTGGTGTAGTAACCGTTGTGTTTCCTTTCAGATTGTCTGCGGCTATGCACACACTCTCGCACTAACAGATGAGGGCTTGCTCTATGCCTGGGGAGCTAACACATACGGGCAGCTGGGCACTGGCAGCAAAAACAACCTGCTAAGCCCCACACACATCATGGTGGAAAAAGAAAGGTAAATTTGCCATGCCATGTCTTGGAGACTATGGGACTGTGTGGCAGGGCTGTGGTATTTAGCTTGTGAGTCTTGTTTATTAACATCCTCATTTTGATCATAATGGCTTCTAAGTCAGAATGAACATGTAAATTTGCCCTGTCTTCTGAACTTGCCCTGTTCTGAGGCACCCAGCTGAGATGGTAGAGACTAAGGCATCTTAGTTCTGAAGACTTGGAACTGTCCATTGTGTAGGGAGGTTATTTAGGGTCTGCGATCACACTGAAATTCAGAGTGTAGCACTAACTTTGTCCCGACTAAATTCACTTTTAAATAATTAAAGGACATTATCTACTTAAATATTGATTTGGTTTAATGTCTGCTTCTGGAATAGGTATTTAATATTTGTTCATCAGATTGTGAGGTTTTATGCAGTTTGTTTGGGAGCCTGCCCTAGGAGCACTGTGAAAATGAAGCTGGTCTGGCCTGATGACCTTTTGGTCAGACCTTTGGAATGTCCAGAGCCCAAGAACCTCAGTGCAGTAGTATTCATCCTAATGAATAGCTTGAACACTGGGTGAGGTGAGGGGGGAAATGTATCTATAAGGAAATGTTTATTGAAGATAATATTTACAAGGGGGGATGGTAGAAAGGAGAGGGATAGTCAAATCTGGAAAGTGCTTGTAAGTACCTGAGTTTGATCACCAGAACCCATACTTAAAAAGCCAGATGTGCTGGTGTGTACTTGTAATCGCTGGCCATTCTAGCCTGTTTGGTGAGTTCCGGCCAGTTAGACACTCTATCCCAATAAAGAGCTTTACTACGGTATCTGAGGGATTACTCCTGAGGCTGTCTTCTGGCCTTGACACAGGTCTGCACACTATCCTAACTCCCTCCTCCATGAATACACGCACAAAATATGTTTTTTTCTAATTAAAAAATTTTTTAATATATTTGTATGAGTGTTTTCCCTCATGTATGTATGTGCATGCCTGGTGTCTGTGGAGTCAGAGTGTGTTGGATCCTCTAGAACTGGAGTTACAGATAGTTGTGAGCCGCCATGTGGGTGTTGTGACACAAACCCAGGTCCTCTACAAGAACAAAAAGTGTTCTTACCTCTGAGCCATCTCTCCAGCCCCACTGTTTTGTCTGTTTACTGTTTCTATTCCCAGAACAGTGAAGACATTTGTCATTGTCCACTGTCCTCAGTGACTTTCATTTCCAGTCTCTTTTCAAGTTTACCACAACAGTATGTAATATGTATCTATTCCTACCTAGGATGAACGAACTTAGGTGAGAAGTGTGGCCCTCAGAGAGAGAGAGGGAGAGAGGAAGTGGAGGTGATAGGGGAGCTCTTTCTGACCTTTGCTTCTGAAGGCAGGGTTAGTTGCTTCCCTCACTGACCTTGGGCTGACTTGTGAGGTGTTCAGGCATGAATTTCTAGATGACTATCTGGATGTGCTGGAGGCTCTTGTGCTAAGGAAGTAACATGAGTTTTTCTTCAATGTTTCAGGGTTGTAGAGATCGCAGCCTGTCACTCCAGCCACACGTCTGCCGCCAAGACCCAGGGCGGGCACGTGTACATGTGGGGCCAGTGCCGCGGCCAGTCGGTGGTCCTTCCCCACCTCACCCACTTCTCCTGCACCGACGACGTCTTTGCCTGCTTTGCCACGCCTGCCGTCTGCTGGCGCCTCCTGTCTGTGGGTAAGCCACTGGGGCCTGCTTCCTCCTGGGGGAACCCAGTCCTGGTCCCTGCAGATTTGGTTCTCGGCTTTTCTGTATGCTAGTTTTAATGCTTTTCCTGAATAATAATCAGATTTATTCAAAGGTCATGAAACACTCCCATAGACTTTTTTCTTCCCAGAATACTTTTAGATGAATTCATACTTAATAACAAAATTAACCAATACAGTCAAGTGGAATTTAGTCCATTCGTAATGCTTTGCACCACTGTTTTATATTAAGCTCCAAATGTTTTTGTTGCTCAAAAGGCAACCACAACTCACTAAGCAGCCACACCTCATCCACATGCCCTTTTCCTGAGGGAGGAAGATGTTAAGGAAGAATTAAGCTGCTACTAAACTTCAGGAGGAACAACGAACATTTTTAAATTGTTTTGCCAGCTCACTTAGTATAACACAATGTATGTTTGCAGTAAATACAATGACTGACACACATTTGGGTCAGTGAGTGGGACCATTTGATCGTAATTACATTTATGTTTAGCACACACAGTCAAACAGGCCAGTACAGCACAGCCTGAGATTTCCCTGGACTGCTCCAGCTGGCCTAGCTAGGAAAGGTTTCTCCAGGTTCTTGATCTTAAAATGCAGATATCTTTTTCACAACAGTATTTATACTGTTTGGAGAGGGGGAAAAAAATTAGCCACTGATCTTAGCTTGTAAATTGCTTCTTTCCTTCCAGCTACTTAAGTCAGAAGGGTTTTCTCCTCTAGATGTGAGTTCAGTTGTTAGAGAGAAGTCGTTCTCTAAAAGCAGGCTATATGGTCATCACGGACAAAGAGGGAATGGTTATTTCCATCCTGTGGTGAGCTGCTGAGGCACCCATAAAACCTTTGTTTCGGGTGAGTGCTTAGCCCTCACCCATCTCCTGGGCACTGCCCACCTCATTTGTCTCCTCTTTGCTCCGGGGTCAGGGGAGGCTGTCCTGTGGGGAAGTCCCTACTTTTTCAAAGCCACAGTGCTCCTGGCTCAGTCATCCTTCTCAGCCAGGACAGACCTGTCCACTTTGGCTTAACAGTTCCCAGCCTCCGGGTGGGTCTTTCTCAGTGTCCTTTGTTCCTCTGTTCATAGAGAGTAGCGGATGGGTTTGTGTTGGATCCTTGACTGTGTTCACAATAACACCATGCTCCCTAGATAGACTCACACAGCAGCTCATGTCGCGGCATGTCATTGATTTTCCTGCAGAATGCTTGAGTCCTTAGAAGGAAAGTTGGCTGCTTCTAGATAGCATGGTAGGATTATTGTTACAGCATTAATTTTCAGGGTTAAGAGAAATGTTTAGATATCAGATGGTAAGAAGTTTCTCCACCTAAGAATTGTTTGCATGGTAAGGTAAATTCACCGTGATTGAATATGCCATCCTGGACTCAAATCAGAGCAAAGATGTTGTCAGTGTTTGAGTCAAGGAAAACTGGTAAGTAGTTCATCCCAGAAGAGAAACCACTCAGGTTATGAGAGCAGTTGTATCCCCATAGACTACCTGTGAGGCTTGTTTATTTATTTATTTTTGTTTATTTTTGTTTTTTAAGACAAGCCCTGGCTGTCCTGGATCTCACTCTGTAGATCAGGCTGGCCTCGAACTCACAGAGATCCACCTGCATCTGTCTCCTGAGTGCTGGGATTAAAACTGTGTGCCACCACGGCCCAGCATGAGGTTTCTTTTTAGTGTATATTTTCATGTTTAATTATACACGAAGACTGTTATTTTTGACTTTTCCAGATACTCATTTTGTTTATAGTTTATAGATCAATTACTTTAATACTATGAGTTTGATTTGTCAAATGAGTCATGAGCTTTATTGACCAGAAATAGAATGGAATTATGTACCCTAATTACCTTTTGAAAGCCTCTCATGTCTGATTCTGTCTCCTGAGCTTTGTGTTAACAGTGTGTCTGTTGCCTTCAGAGCATGAAGACTTTCTAACAGTTGCAGACTCACTGAAGAAAGAATTTGACAGTCCAGAAACTGCTGATCTGAAGTTTCGAATTGATGGGAAATACATTCATGTCCATAAAGCTGTTTTGAAAATCAGGTATTTTTGCATGAGTTTAGAGCCATCAGTAACTTTACTTTCTCTTTGCTATTTCCATTTGTTTATTACACCACAGGATAGACACTTAAGAAGAAATGGCTATAGCAGTACAAAGAAGTCTGACAACTTAGTATTTTTGGCAGATAGTTATCAGTTTTACTTGTTATCAAAGAGTATCTTTTGCTTGTGTTCATGCAACTTTTAGGAAGTTAGCGAGTATAAGTTTTTTGTTGTTTTTCGAGACAGGGTTTCTCTGTGTAGTTTTAGAGCCTGTTCTGGATCTCGCTCTGTAGATCAGGCTGGCCTCAAACTCACAGAGATCCACCTGTCTCTGCCTCCCGAGTGCTGGGATTGAAGGTGTTCGCCACCACTGCCCAGCGAGTATAAATATTTATGTTGGTTTTTGTTGTTGTTTAGTTTTCTATAGTACTGCAGATTATAGCCAGTGCTTATGCATGCCAGGCAAGTACCCCTAGTTCTTGTGTTGTTTTCAAATTACACATTGTGCTGGGGATGTAGATCAATAGTCAAACACTTAGCTAGCATGGGCAGTGCCTTCGGTTTGATTCCCCAACAGTAAAAAGAAATGAACTAATAAATTAATTACAGCACTTGTAGCTACTTAATTTTATTTGTGTGTTAAATTTGTGAGCAAATATCAGTATCTATCCTTTTCTACTATTAAAGATTGAGTTTTCCCAAACAGAAAACTCATATAATAAGGAATATAAATTGCCAACTAAAGAAAAGTTGTTTAGATAGAATAAGTGGCAGGAGTCACTTATAAATAAATGGGAGAGGACTGAGCATTCATTAGCAATGATTGAATGATCGCTTACTTAGATGCCTCTACAGAGAATACACGTGAACTCAAGTCATTAAATTTGCTATTTATGTCTTCAGGAAAATCAGTTAAAAGCCCATTTGTGGACAGGGCGCAGCTCGGTTGGTAGAGGGCTTGTCTGCCTGTGGGAAGCCCTTGCACTGCAGAAAACTGCTGCCTCCCAGCATCTGTGGGTGGAAGCAGCAGAATAAGAAATTTTAAGAGAACTGCATAGCCGTATGTCATTCATTACCTTGAGCAATAACTGTATAAACCACAGTAGTGGATGAAAAGATGTTTTACCTATGACTCTGTATGTGCATATGTGTATGTACATCTTTCTCATATAGCTTTTCTGACTTGTTACATCCATTATGCCTTGCTTAGAAATATTTTTTCAGCCGGGCGTTGGTGGCGCACGCCTTTAATCCCAGCACTCGGGAGGCAGAGCCAGGCGGATCTCTGTGAGTTCGAGGCCAGCCTGGGCTACCAAGTGAG